ACCGGCGGTGTCGGTACAGCTCAGCAGCTGTGTGGCCGGTGCGAGGGGCGAGAAAACGACTTATATACGCGCCAATTTTTATGAGCCATCCACATATCGCTTACTTTGGTGCCTAGTACAGACCTTGCATGCCATGCTTTGTTTCGTTGCACGGATATGCAACGAGCAAAACAGGTGGCTTGCTTTAGAGGTAAAGAAAATGCAGACCCATGCATATTAATATGCGCGCACTATAGCCTACACAGTTGCCACAATGCAGCACCAAAGCAATGAGTCAACGGCAAGTGGGCTACAGTAACTGAAAAAAAAATCTCAACTGAGACATCAATGTACTAAACTTGTGACAGACGCTTCTGGGTTACCATGAGTAGGCCTACAGTCTGATTTCAAGCGCATACAGCTTCTTCGGTCATGCATAAAGCCATTCTGAATATGCAACTGCAGCCAATCTTTCTGTTGGGATGACAATTTAATCACGAATATTATTATTGGCACGAACTCTGTAAAATTTTGCAATAAGCTGTAAGCTGCAGTGTCTAACACTAGGTTCCTTTGCTCGCATGACAGCTTAGACAGGCGTGATGCTGATTTATACACGGTATATACGAATAAATCTCGCTCAGAATATATACCGTCAGAACAACTCTAGCACCATGACAGGGAGCTAGGAAGGGATTACCTACCATCGCTAACACGCGTGTCGCCATACGTCATATATTCGCGAACTCGTTCACGCTCCCGTATTTAGGCATTCTCCAGCCTAAGTAATGAATAACGGCGTGACCCGGCACTTTCTCAGTTTCCTACTAGCTGCCTATGTAGGAACCGGAGAAAGAACTGAATATTGTATATATATATATATATATATATATATATATATATATATATATATATATATATATATATATATATATATATATATATATATATATATATATATTTCATAGAGCGCATACTTATCTTACTCTAATCAGCATTCGGCTTTCTTTCGCGCGCACAAGCTCTCCCGTCCTTTTATCTGTCGAATAGTCAAACGGCTTGGTGTGGATCCTGTTTCCGCAGAGCTTATGAATGAAGCTTGCCTCGAATATAAAACTCGTACTTAGTTCTGGAAATACGCCTGTCGTTTCAAACGAGTGACCACTATACCACAGTTCTGTCACTTCCCTGCGCTTCCTTCATGTTTTACGCATTCTAGAAAGATAACATCTTTAGCAGGCTAATATGACACTCTGCTGCTCTAGGCTGAAGGTCGTGGGCTATATATTCGCAGCGGCGAACACATTTCAACGGCGGCCAAATGCGAGCATTTTTCGGCACTTAGTTTCGTGTGCACGTCATAGCAGCCCAGGAGGAGAAAATTAACCTAGAGCTCCTTACTGTGATACGCATTATATGGAGGCGGTTGATTTGATTCATATAACTTCAGGATTTTCGTTTTTCCCAGTTCGCCAATGCAGTAACCTTTTCTGTTGGTTTAGGGGCGCTGATGACATGCATTAAGCGTAATAAATAATTAAATAAATAAATAAATAAATTGTACGTACTGGCGCCAACGCATGCGCTGCAACATATTTTAGAAATTGAATAAAGAAAAGAAGGGAGGGAAAGCTCAAGACGTTCACGCTTAAAGTAAACTCGCAGCGCAGACAAATCGAAAAGTAATTCGTGTGAAGCGTTCAGTGAATCGCCTATTTGCTCATATATTTAATGGATCAACGTTCACGACGAATAAGCGTAAGGGCGAAAATGTTCAGTCCTCGCGGGACTAATCTAATCGGAAAGACGTACAGGACGCACTATTTTCATTTACTCCAGACTAATCAGTGCGAAGACTTGAATACTAATCGAAATTGCCAGCCTATGAACTGCACTGGCTTAATCAATCAGAAATATATTGCCTTATATTATATCTGCTTGCTCTGTTTTTTTTTTTCGCCTATATAGTTCTTTTTGTTCAATTGTATTCATGCTTCTACATTTTTTTAATGTCCCTAAGGTAAAAGCTCGTGTTTCGAAAGCGCTGCTTTACGGTTCGGGTATACCACTTTTTCGTTTCTCTCCCTCTGTGCTCAAAAGCGCGAAATCGTGCTGTCAGGTGTGTCTGTCTGTCGGCGACAGCAGGAGCCGAGTTGTAAACGAAAAACTGCTACTCTTGCACAACTAAGCCAACAGAAGAGGGAAACGAAGTTCAGAACAAAAAAAAAACATTCACCTTTCTAAAGCCTAATTGCTCTATTTTGCTGAACTGTTTTTTTATGCATGCCCCTACGTCACGAAAGGTGCCACGTTTAAATGTCTTTCCTGGAATGAACGAGCAATACCTCAAACGCAAAAGGCTTGTCGGCCCGATTGCCGAAAAATTCGCCTATTGCTCAATCATTTTTTCAGCGCAGACTTAAAGTACGCCTACACCGTAACGGATTTGTTGTGCCGTTGCGGGATTTTATCTTTTGTCAAATGCCGTGCGCGAACATGAGCCAAAAAAATGACCACCGCAGCCGTTAGCTCCCCCCGCCCCCCTTCTATATCTCGCACCATGTCTGGTGATCCAAGAGTTTTTTTTTTTATGATTACTGTTCACTCAAGTCATACCACACAGCCAACACACTTGCCATATGTATATATCAGAATGCTGAAAATTCTGGGACTGCTTCTCGTCACCAAGAAAACCAACGAGATAAACTGGCTTCCAGCAAAAATGATATGCATATACTACGCTGCCAAATGCATTCATAAAAGAAGTATCATTAATGGACGTCGCTTGTAGAGCAATTACTTCTTGCATGAGGTACGTTGGTATAAAACCAAAATGTGTATGGCTTAACAGCAACGCCCTCCTTGTTCCTTTTATATCTCCCTCTTCTCTTTCCGCATTTTATTTACCCCGCCTGAATCACCCTGCTTTTTCTCGCAACACACCACTCCCTTTAGGCACACTGGTGATTATTGAACTCGTGCCCTGAAATTGCTCATATTACTGGTGGTCTCTGCATTGTTCCGGTTACAGACCTGCATGGCTTAGAAAAGAGCAATATTCAGTACTTCAAACGCTCTGCAAGCTTCTGCACATGAGAAACATCCGCCGTGGTAGCTTAGCGGGTGAGATGTTGCGCTGCTAATCTAGAAGACATGGGTGTGATTTCCAATCACGACGACCGGATATCGAAGGGTGCTCAGTGATAGAATGCACGTATAGCCTACTCGGAGTTAACTGTACTTTAAAACTCTTTGATAGATTGATATGTGGGGTTTAACGTCCCAAAACAACGATATGATTATGAGAGACGCCGTAGTGGAGGGCTGCAGAAATTTAGACCACCTGGGGTTCTTTAACGTACACCCAAACGTGAGCACACGGGCCTACAACATTTCCGCCTCCATCAGATTTGCAGCTGCCACAGCCGGGATTAGATCCCGCGACTTGCGGGTTAGCAGCCGAGTACCTTAGCCACTAGACCAACACGGCGGGGCACTTTAAAATTCTTCAGATTAATTAGAGTTACCTCGAAACGGCGTGCCTTTTAACCATATCATGGCGTTATCATCTCGAACTTAGGAGTATTATTATTATTATTATTATTATTATTATTATTATTATTATTATTCGCACGACAGACATAAGGCTGCATAAGCGCTGCATGGCATTGGGCAGTGCAAAGTTTGTGGCATTGCCATGAACGAACCACTTGAAACACTCAGGTGCGTATAGTTGTAGTGGGCACGAGACATGAACACACACACACACACACACACACACACACACACACACACACACACACACACACACACACACACACACACACACACACACACACACACACACACACACACACACACACACACACAAACGCGCGCGCGCGTGCGCTATTATTTGGAAAATGTCCACACATGTCAGTATGTATGCGCTAAAGAACGATAACAGCGAATAGCGAAAACAGCATTCGCTTTGGCTATATGTGTACCGATATATTTCTGTGATTTTGACTATTTTTTTCTTTCGAGACGTTTGTATTTCGTGGTTGTCCTATATAGCGGCGTTCTCTTTACCTTTTGATGATTGGGCAGTGAATTATGTAAGCGATGGCACTCCTCACCTTCTGATTGCCCCTTGTTGCTTAGTAGCGACTAATCAACCTAATGAAGAGCTTCAAATTCAAAGGCAAATATAATAACATAATATAATCGCAATTCGATAATGTATCGCCATGCCTTAATATTTTTCACGGGCCGCAAGACAGCGCGCACTTGTATGTTCGAAACTTAAAACTGCGGGCAAACTTTTTAAAAACGTTAGGCGCTGTTCCCAAGCTACAGCGAATTTTGAGAGGCGCCACGTGAATAATTTCGCGTGTTGTAGCAATCCCTAAGATTGTAAAATGCGCTTCAGGCTGAGTGCACCCTCTCATTTCTGTCAACAGGAAACGAACTACCCACATCGACCGAGACACCTGTACCTCTTCAACACCTATATAAATGGCCTAGTTAATGAAATACCGTGCTACATTATGTCTCGCATGGCTACGTGAAATGATGCAATTGAGATCTCGGAAGGAATTTTCGACCACTTCAGTCCTGTGGTGCCTTGAAATCTTGGCCCGCGAGTGGGGGAGGAATTTATTTGGTCACCACAGCCAGGATCAGTTGTGCTGAGTAGCAAGTAGACGAGAGTATTGATCGCCGTTGATGAGTCCTGAATGGTTTGTAAAGTCTCTATCTTTCCTTCCCGTGTTTATTGTGCTCGGTGTGCCACAACCCTGCAACCACAAACGTGACTGATGCGGCCGCTCTCTCGACGAGCACAAAGGCCTGATAATGCTTGGATTTAGTGCCTTGGTACTGTTATGTGTCTGATGCTCCCTGGTGTGTATTGCTTCCTTTTTAGTCGTACCTACCTCAACCTGTATGAAAGGCGTACCACCATGCAGACCTTCCAAATACCTATTAAGCAACCACGCAATCTCTCTCATAAGGAACAAACTCAAGTTGTAGACGTATACCTTCTTATTTGATCCTTAAACACGAACACGTTGACTTCTCCGTTCTCAGGTACCACGTTGTTATCGTAGAAGATTTCCGGCCTGTGCTTAGCGAAGTGGAAGGGCCTCTGCGACTCTGGCCTGGACGGTGACGATTGCCGCCGCAGGTCCACCGCCACGGCGGCTTCCCCACGCAGCAGAAGGCACACGAGCAGCGCCAACCACGGCATAGCTTGAGTGCTGCCAATGAAAGAAGGAAAAAAAATATGATCGTGACTGGCATCATGTTTACAGGGGTAAGCTTGAACAGAGACGGCAAGCCAGAAACAAGACGCACGGCGTCCTGTCTACGTTCTTCCTAACGTTTTAAGCGCACTCCTAATGAAAAAAACAAGCAGCCCAAACATGTGCGAGCCACTCCACAGGGCTTGTATATGTAGGAGTGATTACAGTACAAAAAAAGAGGAGGAAAAAAATGCGTGCCAGCAGGATCACAAATCCACTGGTTGCTCCACGCTGTGGTAAGGAGTTGAATGAAGATAGAAATGATAGAAGACATGATTAGTATAAAATCATAAAAAACAATCAATGTACCATGTACTACACTGATCGTAATGTAGCGCATGCATTGTAACGCACAGCACTTCAGTCTGTTATTCAATACAAGTGCCCCTCAACGTCTTCTATAGGGTCAGCGTGATCTCAACCAGTGTCCTGAAATTATCGTCTCCCACAGAAGACAATTGCTCATTATGTTAGCAAACACATACTTGACCAGCAACACGTTCTTCTTGTCTTATTTGTTTGGAACTTTTTGTCAAGGCGCAGGGAAGCGAGTTATTTCCCGAAAATAATGCGTAGTGGTCATCTCATATATGCCGAATTTATACGGCTCCCAGCCATTACTATGTTAAAATCAATGTATTCCAAAGTGCACGCGTAAGCCAGCTGTGAGGCATGCCTCATATCGGAGGTGGCTGTTCATTGAGAAACAGCGTTACAACTCTCATAAAATGAAGCCTCTTTTCTGGAGCAGGAGAAAATGCAGTGCGATTTTCGTTTTCAGCGTTTACGCTTTCACCGCCAGTCAGAAATGTATACATTTCTATTTATTGTTACGCATGCGTAACAATACGCAATGCTGCATATACAAGAAGCTTTTATGAACACCACCCGTTATTTATTCTCCTCTTGGCACTGTGTTCTCAGTTGTATAGGGCCCAGTAATCAGTGGTTACCTCGTTGAGAGTGTCACGATAGGTAATTCGTCTCGCAACAAAATATTCGAAGCTGCACAACCAACGAAAACAAACGGAAGCCGTTATTATATGGAAGTGTTGAAAATTGCGAAGGGAACCAAGCACATAATGAAATAATTAATTCTAAGAGCGTAACTGTAGGATGGCGACAAACCGGCAACTACAGATAGTAAACTTTGCCAACCCCTCTAATTCATCCCCAGTCCTCTTCATATCCTATAAATACTCCCGTTGAACTGTACCACGGGTTACTTAAACCTTGCTTTTCCATTTCTGAATACCGTATAAGGTGTTAGCAGGCTCCTGCTACAAGGCAGCCTGAGTGTCCCGCACCGTACTTGGTCAAACCGAGAATGGTGCACGCGTGGAGGTCTAAAAGTGCTTCTGCATGGCGGCCAACTCTCAGTGCTGCTGTGACGAACCAGCGACGTTGATGGCATCACGTGAGGGCTCGCGATGTCGGCCGCTGTGACGGGCCGGCGTCAACTACGTCACAACGTCGTCAGGACAGAAGGCGCGAGGCGAGCATTCTGTTTGAAGACGTACGAGCGAGGGCCTATTTCGACTGTCGTGCGCGCGGTGACATACCGCCAGCTGCAGCTTCCGGCAGCAGCGCTATCTGGTGCGCGGACTGGTCGCCCATACCGGTTTCGATATCGCAAGCGCACGTGAGAGCCCTGCTGCTTCTGCAAGTGCGGCTGGAATTCTCGAATCCAGAGAATCGTGACCTTTTTGCCCAAGAAAAGCGGTGCCGACCTCGGCGCGAGCAACGGGAAGCGCGGTCCCTCGTGTTTTGAAGCCGTGGGCCACATGGAAGACGCATTCTCGGGGGCCGCGCACTTTTCACCTCGGGACTATGGAAGTGGGGCCGTCATTTCCATTTCAATGATCTCCAGTCACATCCTTGGTTTGTTTTTCACTCCATTGTTTTTTGCTTGACGCCGATGTTACAGGCCAGAATAATTATGTGCAGCGCTATATTTTTCCACTGGCATTTCAATACTATTGAGCATAGTTCATTTATTTCTTTCTCGAGGTCAACGAGCAGGATGTATGTTGCACAAGATTAATGTCTGCACGTGAACGGGTATATAAGAAAGAGGAAATAAAACATGTGCCTACTTGCGCTCCCATCTTAACTATAATAAATGCACTCGGTCGCTTGAACAAGGCTGGCCGCATATTCTCTGAGCACTGGGTTTGTTGAGGTCATACGGAATACTCACTTCCTCGCTTTATGCGCACGTTTTGTTAGCTGTTTTTCGTACCTCTTCACTTTTCATGTCCCCGCATTTTTTTTATCATAATACGACGTTGCAAACCAGACCCATAATTGGCTAACCCTTCTACCTATTCCTCTTTAAGTTATTTGAGCACAATGAAAAGTCAAACTGAACCTTGCAGATTACATTGAAGAAATTTAGTGAGGAACTGCGCGTCTCTCACGGTGTTTGTCACACAGCTGTGCCATCTTCTTCGAAAGCGATAACCTCTATGGCTTACAGTCTTTGCAATAATTGTCACATACATAAAAATGTTAGACATCTATGCATATTCCTCCATATAGTTGTCGATTATTAGCACTATTGTACGGCAGTAGAAGCAGAGCCTCTGTGTCATTATTTTTGGAGAAGTCACCTTTACACTTATTTCTAGTAAAGTGAAACCCACCAAGTTTAAAACAGAATGGATGAGGTGGTGCACAGTATTGCTACTGGATAATTTAAGACGTCAATCTAGGTGGGCGATTGCTCCACCTGAACAAGTGTGTAAGTGACGCTGTGATTAACCAGCGCAAAACAATTCAGCGTCTGTCTGAGAAGCGATCCGAGAAAATGCGAGGCTGGCACATGAAATATTGCGGAATCCTTTGAAAGCACAGGTTGTTGCAGTCAAGTATACGGAATCTTCTCCTTTTATGTTCTCGGAAAGAGTACACTGCTTTCTACAGATTTCGGGCTCGACCACAAAAAACGTTCGACGTATCTAGTTTCGTTTTATTGTTTCCAGAGTAGACGAAACTGTACGTCCAGCATCGATCAAATAGGCCAGTGTATAGGCAAACCCTCACATTCGGTGTAGGTAGTGTTGCTCTCTGTTGACTAAACCCCATAATTACGTAGGTAGTATGTCGTGCGATCCAAAGTGACAGGGAGCAAGTACAGACGTTGAATTTCATGACTGATATTTCTTCGGAGTTCTGACGTTACATATATGTGGGGGCGTGAGAGTGCTGTTTCTGTAAGAAGAATGAATTTACTGTTATTCGCAATGAAGAAACGAGAAAAAAAAAGAAGGCGGGGAATTAGCAATGAAAGTAGTCGAATGAACATAAGGAAGCTTTCGTGGGTAGATGTTTGTGTTGTTGAAGTATTTAATTTTAGGGACTTCCGTGAAAATTCGATAACAATAATCGTTAGGGTTTTACACGCCAGAACGATTATGATATGAGGCACCATGATATGATAATGAGGCACGCCGTCATGGAGGGCTCCGGAAATTTCAACCGCTTGGAGCTTTTTAATGTGCACCTAAATCTAAGCAGCCGGGCCCCTGAAATTTCATCTCCATCGATATGCAACCTCCGCGGCCAAAGTCATAACCACGTACTTTAAGCCTCATGAAAGTTTGTCGGTCGATGAACGATGGAAAAGTTCATTCAACGCATACAGCTTTGAGTCGATAAGGAGTGAGTCAGCAAGGTATATGAAGAAAAATGGAGGCGTGCTTTTGTAACTGTAGCAGTCGGGTTTGGGCCTCAGTCTGCATAAAATATTTTGGGGTAAAAAAATGAAATTATCGCAACTTGCACCACGTCACACAAGGCTGTGCCATGGTAGAGCTGGTAGGCGCAGATCTGGTCCTCGCTTGGCTAGGCTTTTACCCTGGCACCTCGATCTTTCTGACCCCTTGCTACATGGCTATGCTTGATGCTTTTTTTTGTCTTGTTTTATTTTTGAAATATAATCTTTCTTTCTCTCTCTGTCTATTTTTTTCTGTCTTTATCTTCTCTATATATTAAGTCTCTCAAGTTCTGCCCATTTTCTTTTGATGTTCCCTTCTTTTATGTCTCTCTTAGTGGCCGTTTTCCCGCCTTCTGCCTCTTTGAATTTTTTCTTTCTTTGTTGCATTTATTTCTCGATATTTTTCTCTTTCTATTGCTGTCAATACCTTAATTTTTCTCTCACTGCAGTTGTTCCCTCGAGCACTTTCTTTTTCTTTTTCTTTTTCTTCGGATTCATTTCCTTCTCAATCTCTTCTTGTCTCTCTAAACATTCTCTCGACTTCTATCTTTCTTTCCTTTCTATATCATTTTATCTTTCTCTATTTCCGAGTTTCCACTCGCTCTTCCCCCTTTTTTATCCTCCCCCCTTCAAGTATGTTGTTCTTATGCTCACTTCCCTTTCCCACTCCCCCATTATACTTTACTTTGCAAGGCTATAATATGCTTGAATTGCTTGCCTGGACAGCCTAGTTATTAAGGCGCTCGCCGGGGGACCGTGGATACGCGGGTTCGAGTCTCACCTCGCCAAGAATTTTGCACAAAATATTCTGTCTTTCACCGTCTTTACTTATTTTTCTTCTTTCTTTTTTCTCTCGCTCTTTGTACTTGTGCTCTTGCCCAGCAGAGTTATTACAAACCATGCCAGAGAAATTGCCACACGTGCACTAGGAGCGAAGATGAAGAGGAGCACGAAGAGAGGGCGTGGGGGCTCATCATGATGATGATTTATGTTCGATCTCAAGCAACGCCGTCGGCTGTAGGACTGTGTCTAGAACACAATTTGCGATACACAGCGTGCTCTGTTGCGTAGATAACTCATGTGGCGGCTTCGCAGAGACTCCATCTATACATAAAGTATATACATGGAGTATACACCAGTGTGTCGATAACTTCTTTCCAATGTGCATGCTATGGTCACACAAAGACCAGCTAATCTGTCCAATCACGTGTGGCACTAATACCACTCAGCAATGCTT